ACACAGGCTGAGCAACAATAAGTTTTTTTAAAAAAAGAAAGAAAAGAAAATACCCAGTGCATTTTCTTACGGAGCAAAGAAAATCAGACTTCAGAAACTGAGCTTTCAAGTGGTAGTAGATCCTACCTTTCTTATTAAATGGCAAGACTGTTAATAAAATGATAGTGATTAGAGGTTATAGCTGTGTTGTTGNAGTGGTAGTAGATCCTACCTTTCTTATTAAATGGCAAGACTGTTAATAAAGTGATAGTGATTAGAGGTTATAGCTGTGTTTTTTTTTTAATTTCCTTTCTTTTTTAAATTTTTATGTATTGATTGATTGATTGATTGATTTGAGAGAGAAACATCACTGTGAGAAACATCTATCTGTTGCCTCCTGCACGGGCCCCAACTGGGATGGAGCCGGCACCCTGGCTATACGCCCTGACTGGGAATGGAACCCAGCACCTTTTGGTGTGATGTTCCAACCAACTGAGCCACACCGGCCAGGGTTCCTTTCTTATTTTTTAATTGTTCTGTAAAAGCCCAAGGTCTGGGAAGGACTGCGTTAATCCAGTCTCTACACACAGCACTGCAGTTGGAGAGATTCATTCTGAACCTCAGCCAAGATATGCAAAGCTAATTATGGAACTGCTAATTACTAAACGCTTAAAAGGTTATTTGAAGGCGACTAACATAGAAGGGAAAAAACTCAATAATTTTTTACCATAAATTTAAGTCCTCACTTGTTTAAAATCACCTGCTAAATACAATCTGAAATTACTATTTCAGTTATAAATGTGTGGGTTTTTTTAACCTACAAATTCAAATATCATTGTTATGTAAACTAAATACTTGTGACCAAACAGGCATTACTTTGTAAGACATGCTTTCCAAAAATTACACACAGATCCTTTAGTTGTGTTTTATGAACAAAAACTACTTAAGAAGCAAATATTTATTACAGAACCCCAAAATGAGCGAAAATATCATCAAAGTATAAGTTGTCAAATGAAAATATAAGACTGCTCATAAACAATGATAAAAAGAAACTCAAACAGAAAATTTAAGTATAATAGACACAATTTTTCCACTAGATTTGAAAGTTAAATATTTACCACAGAAACTCTTTTGTGCAGATTCTCATAATTTAAAGTCCTCTGGGGGAAAGGTATTTTTCAGTCCTCTCATTACAACTGAAGATGTATTCTACTGAGTGACTGTGCAAAGAATTGAGTCTTGTATTGTTAGAAACTCTCAGGTCACAAAGTCATGAGTTAGCAATTAAATCAAAAGGTGCAACAGCCAAAACAAAAAAAATGTTTTTCAATAGGGAATAACAAAGTAATATTATTAACTAGAATATAAGGTGGGGCCATTTTACACTCACCAATTTTAAAAGTAACTTTTACAGCTAGCTAAAAACACAATAAATTAAGTCTTTAAAGTGGAGGAAACAATTCTGCCATAGATGTTTCACCTGAAGAACTAAAAACATTATGTATTTAAACACTCTACAGAAGCAATTTCAAGGGGTCTGAACTCAACGGCTTAATAAAATGGTTTAGAAAAAATCATTTTATTGTTTAAAGCCTTGGGGGATAAAGCTGTTTGTAATTTATTTACGTCTTTTACTTCACTAAATTGCTTTGGTGACCAAGCTTCCCATTTACCTGATTAAAGACATAAACCCAAATAGTTTAATAAAGCAATTACTTAAGAGTCCTGTTTTTCAACAGAGGTGCACTGAAAAACATCAATAGAACGTTTAGTGTTCATTATTTTCAAGAGGCTTTGTTATTCAGAACACAGTGCCCCATTGACTAGAACTTAGCAAGGTTTCCAGACACACAATATGGGACTCGGGACACGCCTTGGATGAGAGACGGCCTTTACCCTCCTCTCCGAATATCAGGTGAAATAGTGACAGCCCCTTAGATCTGAATATTCATGATGTGGCTGAAAGGTCAGGGGACAATTTTTTCTTTTCTCTCCTTACCTCTCTAATGACACGCCTAAATAAAACATGTCCCTGTTTTCCAGGTGGGTCTGAAAAGCTCCCCCATTTTCAAAGTCCTGTGTTTACACTGGGGCTCTCCCCATGCCCAGACTCTCTTCTAGCTCACTACTTAGGTTACACTAGCAACATCACAACTACTTCTAGGCAACTGTTTGACCTAAATACAAAACTACGTCTTCAGAGAGTTTGGGAGAGAAACTGGACTGCTGGGGTTAAAAGAAAGAAAGTGGATTTAACAACAACAACACATTTCTGTATTTTCCTGTATTCTTTAAAGCACCTTTCTTTCGCCTGTAATGAGAATCACACAGACCCCTTTCCAGAGTCTATCCTGAGAAACAGAAGGAAGCGTGACAGCAAACTTTCCCAGCTCATATCCTCCGGTTCATGACATCGAGCTTATTAATGTCCGCCTTCCTTATATTACAAAATTCTCACTCTCAAGCATTCATTAAAAAGACAGTACAGGAAAGCTTCCTGCCCTGCATTAACAAGGCACCACATGAAAAGCACCTTCAACCCAAACATTTTTTACTTTTACTTGAGTCAGTATCAAACGTCCGGAAGCTCCCTTTTTTGACAAGCCGGGTGAAGGTGGAAAACATTCACATTCAAACCTATTTTCTCTTTAAAACAATAATAAATAAACGTGGGGGTTTGCATTAGTAATAAGCAAATGAACATCAAAGTGAATAGGGCTGACATTTAAGGATGTAGGAAACGTTTGGTAGCTTTCTCTCTGTTTACTTGTTGGGTGAAGGTTTGCTGGGGGCATGTGCGGCCTTCAGACCGTCAATGAAGCTTTCATCCTGGGGTGTCAGTAGTCACTGGCCCACTTCTGACTCAGGCCGACTTCTATGCTGGGTCCCTTTTTATTCTACACAAACTGGCACAGGAACAGGAAAGTTTAACAGTTCATTTACTTGGCACAGTCCACATGCTGTCACAGTGAAGGTTTTGTCTCTTCCATTCTTGTTTGGAGAAACAGGCCCCTCCCCAATAGGTTTCCAATCATTGCCATCCTAATTAATCGCCAAAAGGCAACACCACTTCCCCCCACCTCTGATTTCCACTAAAGGCCTCTGACGTCACTTTCTGACCCGTCTTGCTAGGTTCTAACATTCTCAGCATGTGTGATGTCACTTGGCACTTCAAAATTGAACTGTCTCGTTGAAATTTGCTTTTCCACTGCACTGTAACTGGGGACGAGCATTTTCAGAGGCAGGAGACTGATTCAAGGGTCCATTTTAACACGAATAGTGGATAAGGCACATGAGGGTCAGCAAAATGATGCCCAAGGTCATGACCAAAGCAGGACACTGTTTGTGTTTGATTAAAAAAAAAAAAAAAACCAGTCCCTTAGAATAGGAACTTTGTGGAGACACCGTAAAGTTATCACCCATCTCCCACACATTTGGTAAATATGTGCAATCTATGATCCCCCAGATGTGATGGCTCCATAAAGAAAAATGAAAAATAAAAAAACGGTACCAGGTGCCATTCTTGGGCCCTGTCCAAAGGCAGCCAATGGGAGATTCTATTTTATTCTGCTCCCCCCCCCATTAAATCATCATCATCAACGTCAGAGAAGAGCATTTGGATTTGAACAGATGGCATCCAACACTTCACAAGCGCAGCAACCCTTCGGAGCATCAGACCCTAAACGTCTGAAGGCCCAGGTTCAGAAGGGCTCGATCTGTGTTTAGAGGGCTGGCGGCCAGGCGCGCCGCAGTCACCGCCCCAACGCTCGGGACCACGCGTCACTATCCGGTTAGCGACTACAAAGCAAAAGGAAAATCAAACCACCACATTTTTATAAAATTTCCCTCTCTCTAGTCCGACTTGAAACGACCAAGTCCAACCCCGGCGGCCACGCTGCGGTCAGGCAGGACGAGGGAAACAAGCCCGCTGGTAACCGGGGGCGTAAAGGTTAACAAACTTCTCCGACGGCGCGGCACCCGGGGAGC